AAAACACACAGTCTACACAGACAAACCATTTTAAATAAAAACAACTTTTCAGAGAATGGTATCTTTGGTTACTTACCTCTGGGCTAATTTGAAATACAGTCAAAATGTGGAGAACAATTTTTGGAAATAAACAGAGAGACCCAGATATGCTTCCATCCAGACCCCATGCCCAGTTTGTCTTATGAATTAGCTTGAATGTTGGCAATGAAGCGAGTAGAAAGGAGTAAAGTGAAGGGAACTCTGACTTCTGTGAATAAGAAGCCATGATTAAATGCCAGTAGATTATAAAGAGCTGAATGCTATGGCCCTGTGGATTCAACAGAAACCAAACCAGAGACTACGCCTTTTCATGTTAAAAAGAGAGCTTCCTTTTCTCCTAGATTACAGTGTTGAATTTAGAATACTCCAAACCTAGTTCAGAGTTCTATTCTGTGAATATCCAAATGAAAGAAATGCATCTAAATGAGGGGTGTTACTTATTGCTAGATAAATTACAACGAACAGCAGCTTAAAACTACACACATTACTGTCTCACAGTTTCTGTGAATCAGAAGTCTGGGCCTGGCTTCACTTGGTCTTCTATAAATAAGGCTGCAGTGAAGGCATTATCATGGCTGGGGTCTAATCTGTGGCTCAGCTGGACAAGTAAAGTGCTTCCTGGTCAATTTCAGTGCCTTGCAGACTATTGGACTGAGGTCTGTTTCTTGCCGGACGTCACCTACAAGCCACCCTCAGTTCTTTGTCAAGTGATCTTCTTCATAAGCAGCTCAAAACATAGCAGTTTGCTTCTTTAAAACCAGCAAGAAAGAATGTCTTTTGGCAAGACTAGTGTCATAATCTTATTTAATGAAATCACATACATGTAATCATACATATGCTTTTACCTTTGCTGCATTCTGTTGGTAGAAGCAAGTCACAGATCATGCCTCCTCTCAAGGAGACAGAACTGATTACATAAGGATGTGAATACCAGGAGGAGAGGATTATGGGGATGCCCTTGGAGTCTGTCCAGCACAAGTTACTCAAAAGCTAACTTCAGTCAGTTGGTGGTAGCTATCTGGAAAAGGAGATTAGCAAAGATTCTCAAAGCAAATGAGCCCCATCTCAGTTCATTTATTCAATGGCATCTGTTTTTTGGACATGTACTATATCCTCAATAAATGAGGAGGATGTAATAGGGAAATAGAAAAGAACAAAGCAGAAACAGACCTAGTCCTTGAGAAGTTTATATTCTAGTAGGTGGAGATGGACAATAAATAAATATGTAATATCAGGGGGTTCATGAGGGGTTAGAGAAAAACATTATACCTTGAAGATTGTGAAATCCACCTCCTTTATACCTTCACTACAGAGGCTGAACTCAGTGAGTGAAATGGCCAAATGAGACTGCAACAACTTCACGAGCCCCACTGCTATCATTTATGAGCTTTGTGGACTATATGAGGCAGCTCCCCAATTTGAGAGAATCTTACTTTTTACAATGATAAAATGGAGAGTAGGTGGGAATATGTGGTCTCAATGGTCCTTTCTAGTTTTAATCTTCTACATTTTATGGGTAGATTTTGATTTAAAACAGCAGTCAATCTGTTAAATGTTCTTGGTTTAAAATTTTTTTGAACTAAAAATAAAATTTTAATTCTTATATATTTTTCTTGTATCAAAACATTAAGTGACAATCCATGACAACTTACACAAAAAAGCAAATGTTTCCCTTATAATTTCCCTAGGTGACTTTAATTTACTATCCTTAGCCAACAAGTAAGTTATTGATTTATCAAGGCAAATTCCTATCTATTGCTACACAGTTCTCTCTTATGGGTGATAATTTTGATCTCTCCTAATTTTGCAAATATCCAGTTCTTTTGCCAACCCCAAACACTGACTTGGGGACAAAACATGCCATGATAAAAGTCTGCTCTGGGTGAGGAAGGGATAGGATATGACATTGCACATACTTCCATTCCTGTGATAGATGCTTCTTCTTTCAGTTAAGCAGCTAACTGTTTAAACAGAAGAATGACTAATTCAAAATCCACGCAGAAAGCTCAACACTTGGAAATATGCACCTACTTCTACCTGAACTAAGATTAAGAGAAATCATCTTATAGTACCATCATCACAAAAATAAACTGTATAAAGTCGCCAAGGTCCATCTACTCAAAACTATGATTTTTCCAGTAGTCATGAATGGATGTGAGAGTTGGACTATAAAGAAAGCTGAGTGCCAAAGAATTGATGCTTTTGAACTATGGTGTTGGAGAAAACTCTTGAGAGTCCCTTGGATAGCAAGGAGATCAAACCAGTCAATCGTAAAGGAAATCAGTCCAGAATATTCACTGGAAGGACTGATGCTGAAGCTGAAGCGCCAATACTTTGGCCACCTGATGTGAAGAACTAACTATTGGAAAAGACCCTGATTCTGGGAAAGATTGAAGACAGGAGGAGAAGGGGATGACAGAGGATGAGATGGTTGGATGGCATCACCAATTCTATGGACATGAGTTTAAACAAGCTCTGGGAGTTGGTGATGGACAGGGAAGCATGGTGTGCTGCAGTCCTTGGGATCGCAAAGAGCCTGACATGATAGAGTGACTGAACTAAACTGATAAAGTTGCAAAGTATACACATCAGGCTATCATCATGATTAGGGTTCTAAGACTAACCTTCTTATCCTTAACAGTAGTTATTCAACAATCTTTCTTTAACTCTTTATCTTTTATCTATGTTATTGTTGCTGTTCAGTTGATAAGTTGTATCTGACTCTTAGACCCCATAGATCTGACCCCATAGACTATAGCACGCCAAGCTTCCCTGTCCTTCACTATCTCCTGGAGTTTACTGTTTGCTCAAATTCATGTCCATTGAGTTCATGATATCATCTAACCATCTCATCCTCTGTCGCCCCCTTTTCCTCCTGCCTTCAATCTTTCCCAGCATCAAGGGTTTCTTCCAATGAGTTAGTTCTACACATCAGGTGGCCAAAGTATTGGAGCTTCAGCTTCAGCATCACTCCTTCCACTGAATATTCAGTGTTGATTTCCTTTAGGATTGACTGGTTTGATATCCTTGCAGTCCAAGGCACTCTCAAGAGCCTTCTCCATCACCACAGTTCAAATGCATCAACTCCAGCAATCAGCCTTCTTTATGGTCCAACTCTCATATCCATACATGACAACTAGAAAAACTATAGCTTTGAGTATACTGACCTTTGTTGGCAAATTGATGTCTCTACTTTTTAATACCTTATCTAGGTTTGTCATAGCTTTTCTTCCAAGGAGCAAGCTTCTTTTCATTTCATGGCTGCAGTCACAGTTTGCAGTGATTTTGCAGCCGAAGAAAATAAAATCTGCCACTGTTTCCATCTTTTATCTATGTCTTACCATAATGTGATCACCTATGTGAGCTTACACTAACAACCATACTATCTACCATAAACCTGATAATGTACTAACTTTTCAGGTACGACTTAATAAGGAATCACTTTGAAGACCCAGCTGTTCACATTCCCTTAGAAACTCTTTACAAACAGCAACAGTGTTCAAATCAGAAAACATTAGACCCTATGGCTATCAAAAAAGAAAAATCTGCCAAGAATCTCATCAAGTGTTTGACCCAGTTGGAGTGTGATATATTTTTTTTTAACTTTTAAAAATTCTTCAGTGTTTTTTTTTTCCCCCAATGGAAAAGATTTTATTCAGATTTATCAATAGTCTGGTTGGTTAATTGAGTCTAATAATAAACACTACCACTCCATTTACTTACATGTTCTGAAAAAAGGTCTTTTAATCATTCTTTAGATGAGACTTTTCTTTTTACCCTTTTCTTTGTTTTCATTAGACATATGTCAGTTTTTCAACTTCGTAACTCAGTAGGGATAAAAAATCAGTTCAGTTCAGTTGCTCAGTTGTGTCCAACTCTTTGCGATCCCATGAATTGCAGCACACCAGACCTCCCTGTCCATCACCAACTCCTGGAGTCTACTCAAACTCATGTCCATCGAGTTGGTGATGCCATCCAGCCATCTCATCCTCCCTCTGTCGTCCCCTTCTCTTCCTGCCCCCAATCCCTCCCAGCATCAGGGTCTTTTCCAATGAGTCAACTCTTCACATGAGGTGGCCAAAGTACTGGAGTTTCAGCTTCAGCATCAATCTTTCCAGTGAACGTCCAGGACTGATCTCCTCTAGGATGGACCTGTTACATCAGGCTGGTACTAAAATCTAAATAAGTTTTAGGTAGTCTAGTAATATAAAGTTCAGTAGGGATCAGACTCAGCTATAAGAATAAATTAATTTTTTAAATGATATGCCAACTTTTCACATACAAAAAGATTCTTAAGAAATTGTAACTACAGATATTTTGCCATAACCACTCCTTTATTTAATAAATTTTTTTTGAAAGTTTCCTCCAGGCTAGGTGCCAGAGTTGGCACTGAAGATATCCCTGCCTTCAAGAAATTCACAAGTTAATATAACTGAGTGCCTCCAACACACATTTTAAAATTATACTTCTCATTACCTAGCAAGTGTGTCCCCAAAAGTCACAATAAAACTCATCTTTGATAAATTGAGTCATTCTTGAATATGCCATTTAAATAATCCTGTGGTACAGTGGGAATCCTTTTATTACATAATGCAAATAACACTTCTAATTTGATATTTAGATTTTTATACCTTGAGTTTTCTAAAAGCTATATGTAATTTATTTAATCATTCAGCTATGATATATTGGAAAGAACACTTAGAGGAACTAAACTTGGATTTAAGCACTGAATATAATCTTAGGCAACTTACTGTTGGCCTTATTAGTAAAAAAAGAATAACATGTCACAGGCTGGATAGGAAGAGATATCAAATGGTAGATGTGGCAACCGATGCCAGTATGGCTCCCCCTGATCCTGGTACCCATGCCGTGTAGAGTCCCCTCTCAGACTGAATTAGGACCATTCCATATGACATCAGAATGAAGTGCATATGACTTCCAAGGCTAGGTCACAACAGACACTGCAGCATTCATCATCTTCTCTTACACCACTCTTTCTGGGGAAAGCCAGCTGCCTCATCCTGGAAACACTCAAGTAGTCCCACGGAGAACCCCTGTGAAAAGCAGCTGAGGCCTGCCAACAAGAAACCAGGAAGGGAACCATCCTGGAATTGGATCCTCAAGCTTCAGTCGAGCCTTCAGACAACTACAGCCCTAAGTGACTTCTGACTTCAACCTCATGAAAGACTGAGTCAGAACCATCCAGACCCACAGAAACTGTAAGAGTTAATACATACTTCTTATTGTTTTAAGTCACTGAGTTTTTGGTAATTTGTTACACTGCAATAGATAGCTAATGCAGATTATGAAAGCTCTGTGTATATAACAAGAAGAAAAATAAGTTAGGAAGAATATCTTCTCTCATTCTCTCAACAACTATCCACAAACAGATTCTGAGCCCAGTTCTGTGCTAAGTCTATAGTTACAGTTGTGAGCAAAACACAGACCCTGCCCTTAAAAGTTTACAATGAAGCCAGGAAGATGGGCAACTAAATAATCACAATAAAGTGTGAAAATTGCCATGTCAAGGAAATACAGCATACTTTCCTGTATCCTGTACAGCTAATCTTTTCCAAGAAGTCAAGGGAAGCATCTGGAAGAAAAATTTTTGAATCTAAGAAGATTGTTGAGATAAATAGAAGAGAGATAAAAAGTTGCCTTTTTCATTTAACCAGCAAATTTGGAATAGATGAATTTAGCATTGTAAAATTCAGAACTGCCAATATCAACTTCCATTCATTCTTCCAGCCAAAATGTTCTGAGTGCCTACTATGTGCCAGGGACTGTTCTAGGCTCTGGAGTTTCATCAAAGAACAAAGAAAGAACAAAATTCCTGCCCTCATTATTGGTCTTTAAAAAAAATAGGAAACTATACTTGGAAAGATGGTAGAATAATAATGGTCAGGGTTACAGGTTTCGAACTCAAATCTGTCTCTTACTGGTTTTGTCATCTTAGGTAATATTTTTAACCTCTCTGTGCCTCAGTTTCCCCAAGTATAATAAGAGCACCTAGCTCCTGGGTGGCTATAAGAAAACAAATAAGTTAATGCTCATCAAACCTTTAGAATAACATCTAGCACATAGTAAGAGTTCAATTTATTGTAGCTATTTTTTATTTTCTTGCAATCTTACTTACAAAGCCCTCCTGTTACCAGTTGAAGAAAAGGCACAAGGTTAAATTCAAAATACATGAGATCCTCACTAAGTAGGTCATTTCTATTTCAGCATAAGGTTGACATCCTGAGTAATTTATTGCCTGAATAATTCTGAAACACAGAAATGCAAATGTATGAGAGTTCTAACCATGTTGCAGACGTAAAAATGCTCCTTATCCAAGAACTTGTTTCATCTGTTAAACAACCCCTAAAATGGGCTCTTTCTATACAATGCTAAAACAACCTGTTAAGAAATAAGAAATTTAGTATGGTCTAGTCCCAAAGAAATTGCCTTTATATTCAAATACAAACTTTAAAATAGTTTTTCATTTGATCAAATATTTTGAATGAATAAATACAGACTAAAATAATAATGTCGACTTTGAGAAGAATAAACACTGATTTCTTCCTTGTTTCCTTTATCATTTCTCTCTGGCCCAGTTTTGAACGGAAAGAGGTGGCCAAGAACAAATGGTTCCTCAAAAATGTTTCAGCCCTGGATATCTTACTAACAATTATTTCATGTGTTTCAGGCCCCAGAGAGTAGCTATAGCTGGAGCGCTTCAGTGAAGAGCGGACGATCGCAAAATCGTAGACACTAAAGATGGAAAAGACCTTCGAGGTCATCTTGTCCACTCCTGTCAACTCAGTCCTGTTCCCCACAGCAAATTCTCAGGGGCTTTCTACAGCCGACTTGTAAACGATTCCGGCACCACTGGCCTGCCACTGTTCCCCTGGAGAGACCACTCCACTGTCTAAAAGACCTTTCTGTTAGGTAATTTTTTTCCGTGATATTCAGCCCAATTTTACCTTCTCTTAGCTTCATCCCATTATTCATTGACATACTCCATTGGACCAGGCTAAGCATCTCTTCTCTTTCAGAGTAGATACCTTGTCAGATTAATTGTGACATCAGTGGCTTCAGCCAGCCGCATTTACAAAGTCCAACACAGTAGCATTTAGGCAGACAGATCCTGGCTTGAGTGTCTCATTGAAGAATCTATGCAAAGAATGCCACAGATGCAAGGAGATCTCTTGTTCTTTGTCCCTCATTATCTATTTCCACAGCTTTCATGTGTTTAAGAGCAGCAATGTTTGATATCTTTGGTTTTCCCTAAAATCCTTCTCTCTATATATATATTCCTTTTTCTGGCTCCATGATGATCAGAAGGGGCCTCAAGAATGGCCCTCTTTTCAGTTCAGTTCAGTTCAGTCACTCAGTCGTGTCCAACTCTTTGCGACCCCATGAATCGCAGCACGCCAGGCCTCCCTGTCCATCACCAACTCCCGGAGTTTACTCAAACTCATGTCCATTGAGTCAGTGATGCCATCCAGCCATCTCATCCTGTGCCGTTCCCTTCTCCTCCTGCCCCCAATCTCTCCCAGCATCAGGGTCTTTTCCAATGGCCCTCTTTTAGATAGTAGTTTACCAAGGCATGGTCTTTTACATCCTAATAAGAGATCCTAACATTGACTGCAGCTTTTTGCCCTAGGACAGAACATCCCTATTCTAACTCCCTAGACTGCCTTGGATTTATAAAACTGAGAATGAATTGGTTTTAACTGGATTTTGTTCATATTGCCATGTAAGGCTTTGGGGAAAAGCCATTAACTTGTGTGTGTGTGTGTGTGTGTGTGTGTGTATGTGTGTGTACATGTGTGCATATGCATCTGTCTTTGTACAATCACTCTGTGGTTTATGAATTTTATAATTATATTTTGGTCATTGAACATAGTAGTGACTGTGGAGCACATCCTGCCACATCCTAAAAAAGAAACATTTTCAATCACAACTCAATGCAGAATATCCATGCATATACATACATACCTACATATATATATATATATATATATATATATATATATATACACACACACACACACACACACACACACACACATAACTGAAAGAAAATTTCAGGAAATAATATTTATCCTCACCTAACAGGAAATCTCTATTTGCTATTCTCATCTTTTTCAAGTATTTATAATGACAGCCTCAGCCTATTAGGGCTTCCCTGGTGGCTCAGATGGTAAAGAACCTGCTCACAGTGCAGGAGAACCGGGTTCAATCCCTGGGTCGGGAAGATCCCCTGGAGAAAGGAATGGCTACCCACCCCAGCATTCTTGCCTGGAGAATTCCAGGACTCTAGCCCTATATTCCAGGGGGTCACAAAGAGTCGGACACAACTGAGGAATTAACACTTTCACTTACGCTTTTTCCTCAACCCATTAGATTGATTTTACAGCCCACTAATGGGTGTTCATTGGAAGGACTGATGCTGAAGCTGAAACTCCAATATTTCGGCCACCTCATGCGAAGAGTTGACTCATTGGAAAAGACCCTGATGCTGGGAGGGATTGGGGGCAGGGGGAGAGGGCGACAACAGAGGATGAGATGGCTGGATGGCATCACCAACTCGATGGGTATGAATTTGAGTGAACTCCGGGAGTTGGTGATGGACAGGGAGGCCTGGCGTGCTGTGATTCATGGGGTCGCAAAGAGTTGGACACGACTAAGCGACTGAACTGAACTGAACTGAATGAGTCAAAGCCAAGAGTTGAAAATCCCTACCGTAAAGCCTGTCCCCCTGACCTCAGACCCTGTGGAGCAGCTGGTGTTGAGAGATGGCCTCTGCTCTTTGCACCTGTCTCCACTGTGACTGCTGCCCAGAACCTCAAGAAGCTTCATTTCACTTTTATCAACTGCCACAGGCAGCTCCTGGTTCCCTAACCTCAGCTCCCAGAACTGAAGGAGGCTGAGAGGTAGTTATGAAGCCTGCCAAGCTGAATGGCCACGTCAGCTTCCTCCCAAGAGGCTCAAAGTCCACCAAACACACTGCATATCAGGACAGGCGGCAGCAGATTCAGGGCTAGAGACAAAAGTCCTTCCGAGATCGATTTTATAATCAAGCTCTAAGATACATCTCTATGTGGTGGCCACGATTCAACAATTCTGTAAACCTATCAATGGCAATATCAATGCATATGCAAAAATACATCTCAAAAGGGCTTTCTGCTAAATAATGTCTAGTGTCATGATTGAGGTCCTCATGTCTCTTATAAGCATTTCCTCTCCTCAGAGGACTTTTGTGTTCCCTCAGTGTTTATTTCTTTCAACTACATTACATGAGAACTTAGGGAAATGAGTTAAAAGTTTTATATGTATTTCTCTTAAACTTTCTGTTTTTCCCTTGTAATTAGTTTCATTTACTGGTTCTCCTAAAATAAGTTGAGTAAAATCCCCTCCATAATGATAATTCACCCTTTTGAAAGGGAAAGACATTTTGGGTGACTTCTAGCTATGTGGAGTGGAAGATGCCCATTTCTGTCACAGACCAACTAAGGATAACCCTGAGTCTGGGAAGCAGAGCACTCCTGATATTGGCATACAGGTCAACCTCTTTTCATGGCTATCTGCTCTATAGAGCTTTGTATTACATGGTAGCTTCAACTAAGTAACAGGAATCTGGTAAGTCCTATTTTGCAGCTGAAAAAGCCAAGGCTCAGGGATGTGGAACAATTTACCCAAGGTCACAGAACAGATGAAGGAACTGAAATTTAAACCAAAGCTCTGAATCCAAAGCCCAGTCTCCTTGCTCTTCAAAAAGACTGCCTCAAAGTAATAAACAAGAGGGACAAATAGAAGTCAATTCCATTTGTATCAGTAAGTATTTTAAACGTGAATACTGGTCTAAGTGAACCAAAAAGGTGGCCTCTCCATTAATGCACATTGGCTTGCACATTAAAAAATATTCTTATATTAATACTACATATGAGGATTCATTATCTAGACATTTTTTTTCCATGTAAAGACACATCAGAAATCAAAATTGCAGTCAAGGTTAAAATGCAATTTGATGAATAAATTTTAACTCCAAAATGTATGTAGAGTATATAATGAATGGCATGAAGGTATAAATTAGTATACTAGATAGGATACCTGACTCACTTTCTTAAAAATAAGCAAGGATATTTATACTTCAAAAAATAAGGGATTTTCTGTATTAAAAAGGAATCCACCACTGTAAGAGTGATGTATAAGTAAAAACGCAACTCAAAACATCAGAATGCAAATTGCAAAAAAAAAAAGGTAAATTGTTTGCCCAAAACAAAGGAATTCTTACAGAAGCAAGTTCACTGTGCATTTGAAACATTTATTCAATTTTACTTTCAAAGAATTGCTATGTTTTTTAAAAAGCACTACTATGTAAAATATGGTTTACTAGTATCTTTACTCCATCAACTAACCACACAAGAAAATAGCAAGAAGTTCATCCATATTTAAAATTAGCTGGGCTTCCCTGGTGGCTTAGTGGTAAAGAATCTGCCTGCCAATGCAGGAAACACAGCTTCAATCCCTGGTCTGGGAAGATCCCACATGCTGTGGAGCAACTAAGCCCATACACCACAACTACTAAGCTCACAAGCCACAATTACTGAAGCCCGTGCTACCTAGAGCCCATGTTCTGCAGAAAGAGAAGCTACCACAATGATAAGCCCACCCACTGAAACTAAAGAGTAGCTCCTGTTCACTGCAAGTAAAGAAAAACCCATGCAGCAATAAAGACCTAGCACAGCCAAAAATAATAAATAAAATTAACCTATCAGCATAGGTCTCAGCATTGGTAATAATCAACATGGTGATGAGGATTGATACAGTTCTCTGCCCCCTGAAGTTTTTGACTGAAGCCAGGGGCCCTGCATTAACGCTGGAAGGCAGACCCCTTGCAGATGGTAAGCAGTGCTCCCTCTGGACACGAGGTGGTCCTCACTCCCTTCCTTCCAAAAAGTGGCTTAAACCACTTATAAATGCTGCATAGGAAAATCTTCAGTCCAACCTTGACCCTTCTGCTGAGGCCAACATGCAACATGTTTATTCATTCAAAAAGCCTCGTAAATCATTTCAGCTTCAAAAGAAACCTAGTTGAAAAGACAAACTAGGGCTAGAGAGTGAAGAGGAAAATGAGTAGCCAAAGTAATCTGAGATGGAACACAACTATCAGACAGTTCAATGAGAGATTTGAAGTCAATCTCCAGCCAAAGACACTGACTTGCAATATTTACCATCCCAGGCCTTTAGATCATTTTAAAATAATGTTGACCTCCCTCTCTGAATCTTTTAAGCCTCAGGATATATGTGGGGTAATAAAAAATGTAAATGGATTGAGAGCTTGGTTCTTATGAAGTAAGACGGTTAACTTCAAGTTAACCTGTCTAGACATGTGAATAAAGTCTTTTAAAAGTAGAAGGCTCAACAGGGCCAAGATAGGTTTTTCCAGGGCTGTCCTGTGGCTGAATAATTTTCCATGAGCTCAACTCACTTCATGGAACAACTTTAAAAATAACAAAGAAATAATAAATCTCACCATATGGAAATCTCTTTGGCCTCCACTTAATTCTCTCCTTCTCTCTTTTTGCATTAATATCATAGCTTTCCATAGGTGGTATGCAGAGAGTATCTGAATCATCACACCCTGCAAAGACTGGCATTCCAGGCTATTTTTCTACCTTGACCTACTGAGGCTGTAACTGTCTAAACCCAAACAGAGGATATCACTATGGGGGCAATTTGGTGGTTTAGTTGCTAAGTGTTGTCCGACTCAGGCAACCCCATGGGCTATAACCCACCAGGCTCCTCTATCCATAAGATTTTCCAGGCAAGAATACTGGAGTGGGTTGCCATTTCCTTTTCCATGGGATCTTCCCCACCCAGGGATTGAATACAGGTCTCCTGTACTACAGGCAAATTCTTTACCAACTGAGCTACCTGAGCAATTTAGAAGAGCATTATGATGGAGAGAATCTTCTGAGCGTAAGAGGATGACACCAGTGATCAGTAGTACCCTTGACAGGATAAGAGGCCCCAGCACTGGGACCCATGCTTGGGGGCCAGCTCAGCAGCCTCTCTGACCTGTCCTTCCCCACAAGTACCCTGAACTCCAAAATGACCTGCCCAAATAGCCCTTCTTCCTTTCCCATATATTAACCATGGAGGGCTCAATTACAGCAACGAGCCAGAGGGCAGGGAATATCACCAAGAAAGGAGAAGATGGGAATTCCCCCCACCTCCCATCCCACCAGAAACATGCTACCCATGAGGGGCTTTCTCTGTGTGGAAAGACATGACCTTGTATCATACTGGGACTCCAGATTACTATATAGGATTGGGTATTCTAAGGACAGTGAGAGAAGGACAGGTTCTCCCAAAATCCAATAGAATGTATTTATAGACATATACACATATATGTGTGTGCATATATATAGATAGGTAGACACATATATATGTTCATATATCTATATATACATACACATTTATAGAGATAGAGAGAGAGGTTTATTTTAAGAAATTGTGGAGGCTGTCAAGTCCAAAATCTGCAGGGTAGACCAGCAGACTGGAAACCCAGGGAAGAGTTGTTGCAGCTCAAGTCTAAAAGCAGTCTGCTAGCAGAGTTTAATTTTCTGTTAAGTCTTTTTCTATTAAGGCCTTCAACGGACTGAATGAGGCCCACCCACAGTATAGAGGGTAATCTGTTTACTCAAAGTCTTCTCATTTAAACCTCAACCTCACCTAAAAAATACTTTCACAGAAACATCTAGAATAATGTTTGACCAAGCATCTGGGTACTGTGGCCTCACCAAGTTGACACATAAAACTAACCATACACAGAGAAAAATATGTTTCTTTTTGATGTTGATCATATCCCACAATGCAGGCCTGTTTGATGTACCTTTTACTTACACACACACACACACACACACACACACACACACACAAACACACACACGTCATTGTATGCTTTGTGTGTTCAATAGTAAGTCTACATAGATTTCTACTCACCAGTAGTAAACAGTAGAAAAAACACACCTTAGCTCCCCCAAAAGATCATAAGTTCCGTGTAGAGAGAAAAAGTTTCATCTTCCATGTCCTTGTGGCATCACCCTGGTGCCAACAGATACGTAGTCTATGTTTAAGGCCTCTGTACTGGCTGATTAGCCCTCCTTCTGCAACAGTAACGCCAAGCCTCCATCTAAATCATGTTACTGTATTTATGGGAGATCAAGTTGACAAGTGTGGAATCGCTGGGGAGAGAATTCCCCTTTTATCTTTTCTTTAAATTGATACTTTTATTGATAAATATTTTCTTTTTAATTTTTGTTGGGGTAAGCTGACTTACAATGTTGTGTTAGTTTCTACTGAACAGCAAAGTGAATCAGCTATACATAAATATATATCCTTTCTTTTTCAGATTTCCTTCCCATTTAGGTCACCACAGAGCAGAATTCTCCCTTTACTTTACTTGTAGGCAAAGCCAGGAGCAGAGGGAAAGAAAGAAAGGGAGGGAAGGAAAAAGGCCAAGCAGAAAAGCAGAAGTATCTATCACATGAGCCATTGGGTTCACCCCAGAGTTTTCTCAAGCACAGTTATGGCATCTTTATGTACTGATTCACAAACATCTATTAAGCACCTACATTGTGGCAATGTCTGTCCTCTTAAAGTTATCATCCTTATTCTAAGCAATACACAATTATATGAAATCCCTTATAGTTAGGAGGGGTCTGCAGGGTTTCCCTCTGGGACACACTCATTTCTTCCCTGCTGAGGGTCACATTGAGAATTTTAGACCAGAAGTGACATCATCTGGCCTCCAGTTTCAGCTGTGCCACTGTCTCCCTCAGCGATGTCAGATCAGTCACCCTTTTCCCTTCCTCTACTAAATAGGATGGCAATTATAATGACTTAACTACTTGTGGACATGTTATGAAGATCAGTGAGATAATGCATATGAGAGCACTTTTTGTAAAAGTGAATACAAATATAAGGTATTTCTAGAAGCTGCCCTGAAGATTTTTCCTCCTTTTAGGAGAAGCCAACAGAGGTGACAGGCAATAGCATAAGGCAACAGCCACACTAGGGTGAGACTGTGGAATTTTCCATCTGCTTGATACCTCCGCCAAGGTCCCTCAAACATGCCAGCAAGGCCTGATCCCAAATAATCTACCCATTAGCCTTCCATATATATCTGATATTCACCCACCAAAGTGTAATGCCTTTGGGTTAAATTTTCCCCCAAAGAACCAGCATATTAAGTTATAACTTATAGCCTTTTCTATTTCAATGTGCCTTGACTTACTGAGCCTCATTCTAATATCACTGAGCTTCCCTGTTGGCTCAGATGATAAAGAATCTGCCTGCCATGCCGGAAATCCAGGTTCAATCCCTGGGTTGGGAAGATCCCCTGGAGAAGGGAATGGCTACTCACTCCAGTATTCTTGCCTGGAAAATTCCATGGATAGAGGAATCTGGAGGGCTATATGGAGTCATAGGGTCACAAAGAGTTGGACACGACTGAGTGCCTAACACTTACACTTTCACTTTTCATTCTAACATCACCACCAGAAGAAAAGGCATAGTTGGAAAGTAGAAGAAAAAGGGGTCAGTGAAAAACACTGTTTTACAGATTGGGGAATTGAGGCTCAAAGAAATGAAGATAGTTATCTAGCATCAAATGGCTAATCAGTGACAGAACTGCAGCAATCTCTCAAGCCACTGTCTTCCCTCCTGTAAGTACACTTCATGCTGACAATTTCTCTGTACCAGATGGATGAGAAAAAATGCTTTGTTATTACAAATCTACTAGACCAAAGGACTCTGTTTAGCACCTAGCCAAATTACAGGTACACAACAGATACTCAATAAATGCTTTTTGACAAATTATTAAGACGACTTTATGGTAGGGCATAGTGTTATTTTTTTTCCAACTGTTTCCACATTTATAATCTCAATTTTATTTGCATAACTAATAGGGCAGGGGTTATCCAATTCAAGAATAGGAAGCTAAGGCTCTGAAAGGTTACAGGCCTTCTAAAGTGGGAACAGAGTTAGCAATCCCACTATTGGGCATATACCCTGAGAAAGTACAATTCAAAAAGATACATGCACCCCAGCATTCACTGCAACACTGTTTATAATAGAAAGGACATGGAATCAACCTAGATGTCCATTGACAGATGAATGGCTAATGTAGATGTGGTACATATATACAACGGAATATTACTCAGCCATAAAAGGAAATTAATTTGAGCCAGTTGTAGAGAGGTGGATGAAACTAGAGCTGTTACACAGAGTGAAGTAAATCAGGAAGAGAACAACATCATGTATTAGTGCACATATATGGAATCTAGAAAAAGATTGAACCAATTTACAGAGAAGAAATGGAGATGCAGACACAGAGAACAGACTTGTGGACTCAGTGAGGGGAGGAGAGAATAGAAGAAAGTGAGAAAGTAGCTCTGATATATATATATATATATATATATACTATCATGTGTAAAATAGATAGCTAGCAGGAA